ATAAACGATCTTTCGAGCTTTCGAGATTATACATTAGGTTTTAAGAGTAATCGATCAAACTTTTCAATACAGTGCGGAGGCACAAAAAACAAAGAGAGAGAGAGAGAGAGAGAAAGTCCTTCCGATTTAATATACCATTAAATGTGCCGGGCGTATCCGAGGGTACTTCATTCTACCACTTCCTTCCCCCGACCACTTCGTGCTTCCGCATTGAAAACTTAAATTGTGCGCATTCACCTTGCCGGATTTTTACTTCCCAACTCCCCGCGAATTAATCTTATTTCAATATTGATAAAGTCGGTCGTAAGTCACGGCGTTGATCGCGGTTCCAATGCGCGCCGATAAATCACTTCACCGGCTGTCAACTGGTTGAAAGTTGCCTCATAAACTCACTTGCACTCTGACACTTTATTCCTGCGAGTGCTTCTTATTAGAGATGACATTTATAGAAAAGAACTGTATATAGTCAGACTGCTCTATATGTATATATAAAATAAGATTGTGTTAATTAAAGAAACGATATTTGAAATCATCAGAGAAAGCTGTAAACTTTACTCCCTAGGCAAAATTGTCTGTATTGGTTTTTTAATAAAAAAAACAAAAAATGAATATAGATGTAGTTACGTAAACTACAAACAAACATCGAATACCATACTTAGCCCGTTATTATGGGAGAAAAAAGAAGCGGAGGTTAAGAAAGACATACTAAAAGTAATGGCTCGTTTGTACCGCGGAAACGGCCGGCCGAGAAAATCGATATCACTCACAGTATTGAAGCCACGAAAAGCGGTGAGAACCCTGCGGGTTGGTCTCTTAAGCCGCGACGATTTCTTAGCTGGTGGCGAAATGGCAGTGTTTAGCATGAGAGAACTCCCCACAAAGAGCAAGCTCGTTATGACACTAAATCAACCGTCGTCGTAAAAACTCGTTGGGAAATTCTGATAACAGCCGAATGGGAGACGGGACAATGAGAAAAATTCTTTCTCTTCAGGCCTTGAACTCTCACGAGCCATTGCATTTTTTAAGGTTTGCTGAAAAGCGAGGCGATAAGAAGAAAATAACGTCAATACAATGATATCTAGAATACCGTTGCGTGTGTAAAGTAGTTTTAAAAATGCAAAACGAACATTGATGTAATTATAGTCAAAGCGCGGAGATCTACTTCGTCTTTATACTCCTGTTTAATATTTTCTTTCATATTCAATTTTGTCAAAATATACTCATTCATCAACAAACAAACACAGTAACAAAACTGAGTTATCACAAAAATTTCGGTCATTTTCGAAAGTCTGCTGCGCTAAAATCAATAATCGATGTGATATGACATGCATATACGTGTGGCATGTGCAGCTGTGAGCGTGCGGGAGTATCTGCGACTTTTTATGGCCATTGGGGTTAGCATCCTTGTAAAATTCATTATGTAAAATATTGCGCGCGTTTCGCGATCCGCAATTGTATTTCTCGCCGGGATATAAAAGATAATTAGTTGTTAATGCATTTAGAGCGACATGCAATATTGCGATTGTTTGTGTCTACCAAGTGGCGATTCAATTTAAATAATGTACGCTAAAATCGGACTTAATACCGTGCCTTTTCCCTCGCGCGATAAAACTTCGCGCGCGTTTAATTTCCCGACGATTATCGAAATAAAAGCCGAATTTATGCTCGCGAAACAAACGATTCGAGCGAGTATTACCGACAACTGTATGCATTCTCGACCTGGCGATGCGCACACGCGCTCAACAGATTATTACGCTTTCAGGTCGATATAATCTCATATTGTAACGATGCTGAAAATATTGTTATAAAAACTTAAAATCCTGATGAAAAGCAAACCGTATGTTATATTTTGTTATGCAATTAGTCTTTCCTCTTCTATCTAGTGGCGCAAATATAGATTATTTTTTGTAACAAATATTAATACTACATAATACACGAAACATGTACAAACTTTTAGTTAATAATAAATTTTAGAACTTGTTAAAAATCTCGCGTTATCTTTTCTTTATTATACACATACTCTGATGCAAAATATTTATAAGTTGACTGATAATATTATTTTAATAAATCAATCGTTATGAACACAAAAATGTTACTAGAATCGAAGATTGGTTTATCTCGGTCTGTACACTACACAATAAGCATTACAACGAATTAGGAGATAACAATTTGAAATTCTATGTGTACATGCTATTTTCATGTTTGCGTCGCGCATTTAAGGCTAAACGCGACCATATGGTTTCGAGCTGTATTCGGATATAACCGGTTGCTTACGTGCACAATGTCTGCGAGGGATTACGCCAAGACAGCCCATATTCGACGTTACACGCATTCCGGAAATTCGACTCTTGTGGTTTCAGGGTGGATCTTTGAACATTGTACAGACAGATGTATGTCGACTAAATATTTAGCGAACACCAGCAAAGTTACTGCACGCGAAATGTCACCAAGTTGAAATTTCGACTTTAAGGTGCAATTTCGTAGAATATCTACACACAATACCTAATTGTTCACGCAAGAACAGAGGTGATAAGAACTAGAAGACTTCTATATTTAGATATTTAATATTACTTTATAAAAGAAGTTTTAGTTTAAATTAAAACATAAGATGATTTTTATATCGTTTGTTTATTAATCCTATATATTCTATTCTTTATTCTTTTATTCTTAAGACTTGTTTTCACAAGTGTAATTCAGTATATGTACCTATTCAATCCAAACTATACTCGCATTCAAATAAACACGCGAGGAAAATTGAGTAATACACATCAGAACTATTCCAATCCCCGATGTGCTCCTGAATACTACAGAATGTATTGATGTAACGACTGATTGATGTAACGATGTTCAATTCACATCAGAATCATAACTCAATAGATCCCTGATATATTATTCCGCTCGTAAGATCAACTACGCAGGATTCTCGTTAACGTGGAGCGTTCGGTGTACCGACTGCAGGCTTGAACAAATACCCGCCGACAACGGAGGCTACACCATGAGCAGCATGCCATGCCGCACGATCCCGTATAGACGTGTAACAGGCGGAATATTTTGCTCTAGATCCGTCCGATCAATCCCGTCCCATCTGAAAGCACGCGCTGGCACGTATCCTTTTACGTACAGTCGCGAAAGCCGGCCTACACGTTTCGATGGAGCTCATGAAGCCTCCCACTAAAGCTCGTTTCATAGGCTAACAGAGTAGCGCAATCCGTTCAAAAGAAACTGAAAACTCCCGTTTGACTAGATCCGACATTATCGTCAGAATAGTTTCATCAAACCACTTCTCTTCCAAAATCTCGACAAACTCTCCGCAAACACGTTCGATAAATACTGGCGCGCGATCAATAGCCGATTAACGTTCAACATGCCCGAGCAAACACAATCAATATAACTTATATAATTAATATCTTATATAAGCCACAAGCAAATGTTGATAACATCAATAGAAAAATAAGTCCACGAAAGAAAGTGAAAATTATAATTACTGGACTTTATATATATGTATATGTAGGTTCGCGTATAATACATGTATATTTATGGATTATTGATGGTATAGTGACACTCGAATAGAAGTCTCGTTTTTTATGAAGATCCGTCTTGTAACTCGAAAAAAATTCGTAATTTGACAACACTTTCAATAGAAAAGCTATTAGTCCGTGATTGCGCAAATTCACTGACCCATGGATTGCCAAGCCTTTGAATAAAGCACTCATAGATCATAGCTTCTGTAAGCTCGTGAACACCGACGCTGCAACGTTTGCAATCGCGAGAGCTCCTATCGCGCCCACCAGCATTAACAGCAGTTATTGTCGATGGAGGCGAGCTTGCGGCGCATACTTGGCAACAGTATTCACATCGATAAGTTTCTGTAAACAGAAACGTTACGCGTCGCTACCAATGTGCTGCAGTTTGGCAATACTTGCCGAGTCTTGCCCGGACTTAAGTAGTTCATAGTGCAGGGAGTAATTATCAACTTCAGGGAGAGTGGAACGAGTGAAGTTTGTCAAAAATTTTAATGCGTTAATTATCACATTTCGATTAGATGACAAGCAGCAAGACTTATACGAGAACCTGTTCAGTATATACACTTAATCGCAGTATACTTTAGTTGAAATAAATTATTCTTTTGTTATATCTTTAACTAATTAAATGTACGTGAGATATTCCATAGTTTTGCAATATATATTTCGTTTTTTATTTTGCGCTTATATACGAAGATGTAAACGCTTTCACAGCTTTGAACATGGTGACAGAATTAGGCCGCGCGTCTAGAACGTGAGACAACCGCGCAAGAAGGACTGCGAAGAAGAGAGTTGGCAATAACCGACATCTAATATGGGCAAAGTTCGTCGATCCGTCAGCAGCGACAACATCATAATTCTCGCGTAGACGCCCGGCGGCAGCCGCGAGGTCGGGCACAAGACGAACCCCCGAGAGATGAGCGTGTGTGTGCTCGAATGCACCCCCGATCTCTCGCGCAACGGTCATCCCCCGGCGGTGGCCGCGAAAAAGAAGAAGCGAGAAGGAGAACACGCCAAGGTGATGGGAAGAGAAGAGAAGCAGTCTGCGCGTAACCGGTTCGCGCTTTATCCGCGGCGAACGCAGCAAAGTCATCGCGCAGGCGCGCCAACGGGAAGCGTCCCCCGCAGGATCATTTCGCGCCGCGACGCCGAGCGGCAGGTCTCATCCGCACCGGCGGCTGGTCCATGCGGGTTCAACGTCGTCGCGCGGGACGACGACGACGACGGCGACGACGAAAAACGACGACGACGACGACGACAGTCAAAGCGTGCGATGACGAATGTACGGCAGAGTCACGCGAGTTAATCGAAAACCGACCGAATCGAATCTGATTGTAATCAAAGAACAATCGGAATCGCGCGCGCGTCCCGGCCGAAGGATGCTGCGCCTCATACAGGGCACTCGCGATTCGCGCGTTGCGACGCTCGTTCAGGCGGAGGCCCCACGTGAGCGCGGCTGTCATCGGGGACGCGTGCAAGTGCACTTTGGCCGCCGCGCAAAAGCGTCCGCGGAATCGCGTCATCTGTGAGCTTCCGGACGTTTATTATCATTGTGGATTATCGTCGACATTTTACGATCGATACACGTGTAGCTCATCGATAACTCAGTTGAAAATTCATCGGGAAATTTTGCTCTGGGAGTTATCGTTAAACTGGAGCTGATAGTTTTACTGTACACTGACAACGGTTTATTCTTTCCTGGTGTTAATCGTGATGTAGTGAGAATTTCCGTATCGGAGAACATCCACACAAATGTGCATGTAAGAAAAGTTGTTTCAGTGAACAAAAGACGCGCATGAGATTTGAGAAGAAATTACAATGTCACGTTTCGAGTCTCTGTCTCGAAAAAGTGTTTTTTATTTGACAAAGAACTGAAGTCTTCGCTATAGGAAATACGACATAGAAAAGACAGTGTACAGTGCGCGCGGGACAAAAGAAATAAAAACAAAAGAATTGACGAGTGCAGCATTGTGCTCGTTACAGTGAATAACGATTAACAAACAAGGATCGGTATAGTGCAGCGATCGAGGCGGTAAAAATGCTGTGTCGCTGGCTCGCCGTCTTGGTACTCGCTGGTTTTCTGCTGGTTATCGAGGCGATCGCGGTCAGCCAAGGTACGTTTACAACCTCGTTCGAAATCCCCAGAATGTTAGCGAGCTCAGTTGTCCGGCACGACGCTCCGCTCTCATCTGAAACTTACCACGTTCTTGCGGAAATGTTCGAGATAACATAGTCCTGCGGGAGTAATCTACGTAATTGAATGTCAGTGATGAAATCTGATACAGTCCCTCCGTTTTCGCTCTCATTTGGCTACTTATTAGCAATGCTGAGCTAATTTCTGTTATCAAAGTGCCATTGATGAAGTTCTGTATAGTTCGTTGCCTTTTTGCAATTAGCACGCGTACACGATGTCATTAACGACCGTAATGCGGGAGTGTAATCATTGACGGTATACGTGTTGGTGTGTTCCACCAAACACACGTACTACATCCTCACAAGAAATCGCTGCTCCATTACGCTATGTTAAGCCTCGAAAAAACCTTTTCAAACTTCGTCGCGATCACCCATCTCTAATCACTACGCGGTCTTGCATTGCTAATCGCAAATTAATGAGAAAGCTTATAAGAGATTTTAAAACGCTAATTGTGAGTCCAATACAGCGTACTTGAAATTTCAATTCGAATTTGCATATTATTATCGCAGATGTTAAAAAAGCGACAATGGATTCAATTATGCACAACTTGTCGAATAACAAAACAGATCGTTTCCAAGTATCTTTTCCTCCGAGTTTCCTTAATCCAATAAGCGAAACTAGAAATTTTGTATAAGAGCGTGAAATTATATTTTGTATTAATGTGTGCGGAGTTATCTAACATTTACGTGCAGCTCCGAGTTGTCGTTCATGTAGAGCAACTCCACGTAATTGCACGAGCAAAGATTATGTCAGTTCGACGGAATCGCACGAGAGTTGAAATTTGCTGCAACATCCGCCCACGCGCAAGGAGAATTCGCGCGGCTCCCGAGTTTGGAGACATCGCGCGTCTGATCGCGGTCGCGTTTATCCTCGTGCTGCTAATTGTCGGTTCATAGTCAGTGATCCAGGATAATCGTGCGGGGTGGTAGCTACTCGAGCGCGAACGCCTCCGCACGGGACCACGTACAACCGGGAGATGGCATACGTGCTAATGTGCGGAAACACGTGCGAAGGTTTACCGCTCCCGATTTAGCGGCGTGACGACGACAACGACCGCGATGACTATGAGATTGCGCTGCGACCACTACACCACCGGCAGCGTTTTACGACGCGGCGTAGGTTGAATAATTAAAAATCAAGATTGTTCGCTTGTCGTTTGCCGGTCGGTGAAATAGAATCGGAGAGCGAGCGAATAATCGTAACTGGGTAGTCTCGTGATTACGCAGCAACGTCTTTGAAATCTGGCGGGGCGTGAGCGCATAGACACAAATATGTTCCTCGCCTTGCGCCGTCCGCGCGTATTGGTTCGAGAACGTAATTGAGTGCGACGTGCAAACACTCGCACCAATTGTCCCACCGACTGTCAAGGGAGACATCGTGATTTCAGCACTGTGAAACCAACCTGGCAGCTGAAGCGCGATACATATATTTCGTGAAAAGTGACGCGCCGTCTATCGTTTTCAATAGCACTATATCAATCAATAAGGAGAAATTCAAAAAAATACATAAAGATTTTCGAAAAAAATAACAAAATAGTATTTGAAACCGGAATCAAAATAAATATACTGAAATAAAAATATTGCGGTTTTTTTGTGACTCAAAAATATCATCTTTCTCTTATCCGATTAATTAATCAAACTGACAACATTAACTTCCCGTCTGCCTATAGAATACAGTCTGAAATATTTCCATATAGATTTTATTTTGTTACTCTTGTTTTTAATTATTCGTTAAAACGCAAAATATTTACGTGATCTGTGCACAGATACAGTCGTATTCTCGCATGCTGCGTGTGCGTTTAACGCTAATGTGAACGCAGCGTCAACTTGATTGACGTACGGAAACGATTCGCGAGCACGTGGCACTCTCGCGAGAGTATAATCGGTGAACGGCGATTCGCAGCCGCATTAGAAACTGTTTATACCTGGTGACGCAGAATATAACGAGCTCTTTCGATTGAAGATAGCGCATGATATTCACGCCCGAGGTAGTATAGAATATTTTGAGACTGACGCGCCATAAATCAACGATTCCGAAATTTCCTATTCACGACACGGCGCGCGAGATAACCATATTTTCTACTGTTTTGTTTTTTTTTACACAGCAAAGTTTAAATTCGCTGCATGTTTTGAGCAAACAGTGAAACCGTGCATTTAACTGGCGTCGAAAAGGCGAGCGGCGGCAGTTCGACCGGAAATTATGGGAGATCGCGTGCTTTAGCAAGCCAGCGTGAAGAACGCGAGCTCGACAGGGGCGGTTTAACTCAACCTAATCTGCGATAACGGTTCAAACGCGAATTAATTAACACGTGGAACTCGCGTCGTACTCTCTTTGACGCACGCATTTTTAATATAATCCGTTCCCGGATGCAGTGCGTTGCGTGCAGCGTTTAATTGCGATCGTACAATTAACAGGGATCGCGATTTAGCCACGACGGATTTTAATTAGCTGTCTACGTCGTGTTTTAAGCCAAGAGAAGAGGGATATTCCGCGTATAGTTATTAAAAAAATTTCCTTTGAACTGTGAGTTTATTATTTAGGTCGTCCGTCATTTTTTTGTCGTCGTTTATGAATTCTCTTTTGCGAAAGGGGTATATATATATATATAATATATATTTTCTTCTGCCTGAAAATCAAATGACCGGAAGGAAACCAAGCCTTTAATAAAAAGCATAGACTCCAAAAAGCTTCTCTCTTCTTTCTTTAAACGCGCCCTTATCTTTTTCCTTTTTAGCGTCTATGAAATAGTCCCGATGAACGTTCTCGATCAACCGGATATAAGAAGATTGCGATCTTTTAGGATAATATTAAGGCTTTCGAGGATCCATTAAGACATGCGCGAACACACGGTATGGTCGACAAAAAGCACTCCGTTTCCAACGGAAACTCGTTAAGGCCGTCCTCTAATTGCAGAAAATCAATCTCGCAAAGTTGCGCGGGCGAGGAACATCGCTTTTCACCGACACGCACAAAATCGCGTCGTTAGTCTCTGTAATTATAGGGGAGACAGTCTAGGCCGGGAGAGCTCGTTTCGACGCGATCTGATGCGCAGTTTTATACAGGTTACTGGAGAATGTATTTTACGAGACTTTTCATCAACCGAGTCTTTGATCGGATTCGAAATCGACTTTCTTTAACGAATATTCGGTTGCATGTCATTTTGTTTTTCTATATACCATTCGTTCTATTTTTAAAACTTTAGTACTTAAACAAACCTTTTGTAAACAAGTTATTTCAGTTCGGATCTTGTGAAATTATAACACGCAAACAAACTTCGTTAATTGTGACAGAAAACACATAAGATAAAGATGATTAACGCCGCGACAATCGCGTTTTTTTCTATCGAAGGAAGATTAAAACAAGTAAAAAATTGAAGCAACGAAATCGAAAGACGTGAAAGTGCTCATTTTCCCTTCTGTGCTTCTCTAAGTGCTAATCCGTTTACTCTAGGCTCAATCGATAGCTTTGCTCTCTCCCGAATACAGGCTGAAACTCAGGTTTCGCAACACGCTGTGGAGAGCGTGTAATTGAAAGTAGCTGACAAGCGGTCAAATTCAGCAGCAGCAGTTCAAACAGCGGTTACACGTAATTTTCGTTGCCGACACGGTTACACAAGATTCCGGTGTTACGAATCCACAATACATACAGAAACTGTGTAGATGTATTTACGTAGTACGTACAATTTCCATTTCCATTCGCGTGTAATTCCATGTATTCTATAAAAAAAAGCAATTTTACGGAAGAGAGTTTAGCGAATAGTTCTCACACTGTAGATAGAATAAAAAGAATAATAGACGTGCGACAGAAAACAATCGTTAGTAGGTAATACATATAAATACTGTACATATAATATACATAAATATTGTCAAAAAAAGATCGTAAAATATTTATATTATAACTTCTTTCTAACTTTCTCTCATGTGCAATAATTCACGTGGTATTCGAATTTTTGAAATAACTAGTTTTATACAGTAATAATAACTATATAATCATTGTTGTTGTCAATTGGATGCATAACACACAGGGAGTTGCATTCTATTTTGCGCACATGCGTCAACATCCCGACAAAGTTGAATTAACCGTAACGAAATTGTCCAAGAGAACGTACAGTTTGCCTAGAAATTGTAAACCAAAATTTCCCGGTCTTTATTCTCTGTAATATCACCATAATTAATTGAATTATAATGTGCAAAAGGTTATATAATTACATTCAATAGTACACACTCAAATTTCATCTCGATATGTAGAAATTTGCGTTATTATTACTTATTCATTAGCATCAGGAAATTGTCGCAACATATATGTAAGCGATTTAAATTTAATCCAATCTCTTGCATTTTCTACTAAAATATTTTCATTTAGTCATTATTAAGTGCTGAATAAAGAGTTACTTAATTGTCATACGACTGCATGTTCATTTATGTAAGAATATCACAGGGCAAGCGACGCCCGATATTCAAAAGTGCGCACACGCGCGCGCGCGTTGAACGTAATTAACAATAAAACCGGAAAGCAAGTAACCACTCAGCCATGAATCGTCGAGCACTTAGTACCTAATGAGAATATGGAGTCGTTTATAAAAATCGCCGGGGGGATCAATACCTATCCTCGTATAATGTGACCAACCGGTCGGAAGATAAATACACACACGCCCCGGCGAGAAAATCTCCATAATCATGCGCGCTCGCCGCCATAAATCATTCCGAGTTTCTGCGGGACGCCTTGACGCGCGCGATTCCTGGCTTCATATCGCGAACCTCGTGTCCTGCTTTATGTATTACATAAGCTGGACCGTGCCAGCGGCTGTAAGTCGATGACACGTTCTGCCGCCGCGTACGTGCGCGCAGCGACTCGGCATGCCACCAACGAGAAAGCCACCCGAGGATACACCCTGTCTTCTTTTCTGTCTCGTAACTGCTA